AATGCAGATCCTGACCTCATTATATGGAATGGGTCATTCCAACATCCTTCCCTCTACTATATGGTTGCAATGATATTTGAGGGGGAATTCTTCTGGGATTCCCAAAAACAGGTATGTAAAATTGCAAAGGAACCTACTGTTAGTTTCAAATAATACTGCCAGCTCATTCTGTTATTACACTTTCCCTTAACAAAAGTTTTCCTGACAGCCACTGAGAAATAAAAGCCAAACTCAAAAGCATGCATCCTCCATTGTTACAGCTCTCTAACTCAGAGGATCCAAAAGATACTGGTGGCTGAGTACCAGGTGCAATGCTGCCTGGAGAAAAATACTCTCTCCTACATCCATATCAGCCTGTGATCTGATGGGAACAAGGAGCGTCTCTCCACTTTCCCATAACTTGGTGGGGGAGAAAAAAGTGAGGTAGGACCTTTTTAAAATGAAATGAAAGTACATGCCTAATAGCACTGGAAAAACTTGCATAGTGCAGGCTGGTCCATGAAAGCTTCCGACATCCAGCTCTGTTGATACACCTCAGCCCTGACCTGCAGCACCCCTACTATAGCTATTTTAATTCTGGGTCCCCACAGACTCCTTCTCTGTCAAGCAGGATAAAATATTTGTTCATCCCCCACCACCAACAGGCTGTATGTAGGCCCATATGTTCAAACAGAAGAAATGCTGCTACCTTGCAAAAAAACAATCATAGGTTCACACTGTTTCCAGTATAGCGTGCCAGTCAGTTTCACAGCATCACACTCCAGATTTTCATAACGGCTATGCAACCCACATGCAGTTGGCATCTGGGGCGGGAGGAGGTGGAGAGGGAAGAGAGAGGAGGAAATGTGCCCTAGAGAGCCTGCTATCCTTGTACCAAGTTGCACATGCCACTCCTAATAAAAAACAAACACACAACAAAACCATCGTGGTGTCAGAGAACTGCAAGGAACTCCCATCAAACAGAAGCCTTACGATCAGGATGCAAGCAACGCCTTCTGGAACTCAGGCAGCATTGCATTTCTGTGCTGCTGGAAAAACCGAAGTCAGAGGAACAAATGCTCCTACAGTTTCTAGATTATACTTTCTTGAGAGACAGAAAACCCACCAAAGAATCTTCATTCAGAAACGCAGCATAGCAGAAAATACCGGTTGTCTGCTTTTAAAAATAAAAACAAGAATTGGACTCTGTTTCTAGGCTTTAAAGGCTTTAAGCTTTGGCTTGAGAGATTTTTTCTTTTCCTTTTTTTATTTCTTTAATTATACTTTAATTATACTTTAATTGTTCATTTAGTGCTAGCAAAAATAAAAATCCTGGCATTATGGCTGATAGAAGGACAGGAGCTATACAAAGTTCCCACACATGCAGATCTACCCAATACACAGAGCCTCCATAAAGCTTTGCCCATGTACTTCAATCCTGACCTGCAGCAACTCAATCTAATATGCCCCCTGAGCCCTATAGTTCCACCAACGTACCTAAATCCTGACCGACAAAACCCCTGCTAATGCAATACTCCTACCTCTGCTCATCTCTGCCAAAGCACTGAAATTCTGGCCTAGAGCACCCCTCATATATTCCAACATATTGAGCCACCCTGAAGCACACCCACTGCTAGTCCTGCCAAAAATATTTATAAATCTTTTATTCTTTGCTTGCTTTCCCCCCACAAGAAAAGCAGACAAATGTTCTCTCTTATGGCCAATTTGAGAGGAAATTCATTTTCACTTGTCCTGATACAAGATTGAAATGTAATGTTTCAACCTAGAATGTTTTAATCTAGAAAGCAAGAGGCTACTTAATGAAGCCAGTGTATACACTCTCTCCTTTCTTCCTCTTTTAAACCATACCTGTGCAAAAATTAGATCTTCCAAAGGAAAGTATCATTCTGTTGCTGCTGCAATGGCACTTTCATTTTAATGAGAAATGATATGTCACTTGAGTTTTCCATTTGTTGAAGTGAGCTGGATAGGTGTATTGTCAAGACAGGAAAAAAATCTAATTAAAAAACTCTCTCTCAAAAATTCCTCCTCATCTTAATTACATTTTAAAGGAAAGGCTTAATTCATTTTCCTCTAAGATCAGCTTGTCAAAAAATGCTTTCAACAACAAGACATTCAGTTTTGGCAACCAGTGGACATACTTGCACACCCCATCATATTCTGCAGCTGCCTTCTTCATAACATGAGAGGGAAACAACCCACTAGATTAGTTAGGCCTCAAAGTTGCAACCAAGATTACAAGCTGTCTGCTTGTCACAGCCTGAAAGGCCACTCCAAAAGGAGCATTTATTGTTATGGTCTCATCCAAACTCCACAGCCATCAAACTTTATAGTTCCTCACTTCTGAGATCTACAATTGAAAACATCTTTTTGTATCTGTGCTTAAAAGAGGAACACACTAGCACCTTTCCTTTCCCATTGCTGGAGGTTAACAAAAGATAAACGGTGCAGAATCAAGAGATATAGACAGCTGAGGTGTCAAAAGGAAAATTCTTCTGTGCAGCACAAGGCTAAATTTTATGATAGGCATTTTAGAGAAAGCAGGATAGTGAACTGTGGAGCATCTATCTGGGTGGAAGAGATAGAGAATCACCACAAGCATACAGACCATTTAGATGTCTCACGCTCATGAGACTTGTTTATATGCATGAAACTTGAAAGCCTATTAAAAAAAGCCAAGATAGTTTAAAAGTCTAACCAATGATAGCCTGACTTATAAAATTCAGATACAATACAGTACGAAAGTAACTCAATTTCAGGTTAGATTTAATGGAAATGCAGTATGTAACGGAGTTCTTAAGAGTTCAGTTGGTTTATAACAGTTACCACTTTCATCAGTTTTATCAGCCTAGTACAAAGAAGCCCCTGCATTCACACTTCAAATTATGCTTCTAGGTATCACTGATTTTTAAACAAAAGTATGGTTTTGTAATCAGGAATATACATTTTTCTAAGCCAGCAAAAGTGAAACATTATTAAGGGTAGTATGAATCATGAAGCTGGAGATAAGAGCAGGAGCCCCATCTAAAGACTTTCATTCACAGGATGGAGCCTCCCTACCTTCCTGCCATCAGATGTCCCCAAACCATTCTCATTGGAACACAAGTTTGTTATTAACATTAATCAAAATTAGGACTGCTCTGCCTGTTCAGTATTCTTCATATTAACTTGGGCCTGATTCTATGCTCTCTGCACATTCCAGTTTTCTATTTATTTCAATGGGTGATTTGGGCGTTGCGAGAACGCCAAACTGGATTCTGAGTTTGGAATGCCTGCTGCTTTGCCTTGCTGTATTTCTCTTTAATTTAATAGCACATTCATATACCGACCCTGTCCGTCCTCAGAACCAGTGCTCCTATTTCACATTCCTGAATCTCTTTAAACAATGTTCTCCATTCAGCACAGAACCTTCCCCCTATCATTAACTTTAACTTCAACTTCAAAATACATCTTTAAATACCAGACTCTGCACAAATTATAATTAACCAGGATAAAACTGTAAATACTGTAACTTTTTAGAACTGTAGTAAACCTCTCACAAAAAAAATGCACTCACTTGTGAGAACAGGGAAATATTAGTTGCTTTTACAGCACAGCAACCATTGTCAATTATGAAAGGTTTAACTAGCCACAAGCTGCCATAAAAATACTCTTTCATATTTGTCCTTAGATGAAGTCTTAAACTGCAGAACTCTCAAGTATGGAAAAGGCATCTGTTGTTCTCAAGCGCTGCCAAAGACAACAAACAGAACAAAACAAAACAGAAAACATGTCACTGATACACAGAACAGCTTAAAGATGAACTGGTGTTCACACAGAGGATTAGGTACAGACCTAAGAGTGAAGAAACAAAACCCTCTGCTTGGATTGCTAACCTCAAATCTGCTACACTTCCCCACATCAAAGGATACAAAAGGACAATGAAGCACAAAAATGTGAACAGCGCTTGCCCAATCCTGTAATGTGCTGTCTCTCCCCCCTTGCCCAAAACTTCATAGAACATCAAAACCTATGGAGCCAACAGCAATCAGACTGCCCAACACGTTAACAACTCCCAGAAAGTGAACCCCAGAAAGAGAAGGTTGATTTGCTTCCCTGACTCTAGAGGGAAAACTTCGACTGCCTGCGAAAATGGAATTGGAGGGTCAGGAATACCAAGTCCATGGTCCCTTTTTCCCCTTGCAATTTTTTAGAGGCCTTCAGCTATAACCACAGCATCTAGAGGCCATACTCCTACTGCTCCTTCAACAGTCAACTGCTTCCAAGTGTTAGCTCAAAGAAGAGAGAGATCCCGAGGAGGGAGAAAACTGTCATTCCTTCCTTTTACCACATTACCCAACAGGAAAGCGTCTGGGGTTACATGGTTGGTACCAAAGACAGGCCTGACTCTGCAAACCGACTCTGGGCAGCATCTGGCTGACAAGGAGTCAGGGACGAGGGTGGCGCTGGACCAGGGACCAGGGGGGCCGAGTCAGGCCCTACAAGTGCAAGGGAAGGTATTACTGTAAACAGGAGCCTGCTGCTTGCGCCAGGGCCCATGCTGGTCCCTTGGCTAAGGTCAGGTAGCCACTCCAGCGGCCTGAAGGACAGCAGCGAGCCCACCCGCAGGTCCCGGGCTGTTAAAGAGCCTGGAAATACCCTGTCAGAGCCTTGCCCCTGGTGTCTGGGTCTCAGGCGCTGGGGCCAAGCTTGTGAGGGGCTTCGGGGTGCTGCTTCTCCCTGCCCGCGGCCACGCGTGGGCCCCGCGCTCCGCTCCCCCCACAACCGTTGGAAACGAGCCGCGGGGCTCTCGCACGCACAGGCACTGGGGGCCCCGCGGCCCCGGGGATCAGACAGGTACCGAGGAGACTGGGTGAAGTTGGCGCCGGCGGAGCTCGCTCGGCGCCTCGGGGCTGCCCCGAGCGGGAGCGGGAGCCGTCGGGCGGAGCGGGGCGAGCTGCTCCGGGCTCCCCCGACTTGGGGTTCGTCCCTGGGCCCGGCTGCGCCTCTCCCCGCCTTACCTGCCTCGCACAGCCCGAAGTTGTCCGGCAGCAGCAGCGGCAGCGCCAGGAGGAGCAGCCCGG